ACTTCTGGAAACTGTGCTAGGTTTTCTTGTGAATACGGAGCGAAAATGACTATTTAACGTACTACACATTTCTAACTCATCATCAGTCATTTCTCTTGTAAATTAGTTTTAAGGACCTATTGTATCTCTAACCTTTGATGTATACAGTTGATAAAAAAGCTTTGGGGTTATTTTTCGATTCGTTTTGCTACCTTGATTTCATAATTTCTCTTTGCTTTCCTAATTTCTGTTTTACCTGTCTTGTTAGGTTCTGATAGTAACCAAGTAAGTGATTTTCGCCTTTCTTAACTTTTCTATATACTCCTTTCTTTTTCCCTAGAAGATCTAAGAGTCTATTATTCATCCATTTTGGTTGGTTCCGTATCGATCTGAATTTTCTTTTAGGGATGTGTTTATTTTGAGCATTATTGATTGTCGCAATAAATTGTTCATAAGTAGCTGCTAAATTAAATTCGGGGTTATCCCGTCCTAAGTTGACAGTTTCCGGAGGTGTGGGGGGGATTAATCTTTTGACCATAGGGTCATCCCTTAGGTCTCTCCTTAAGCTACCGTAATTAGCCTTCCTAAAATCCGGGATCAAGGCCGAATTTTCCTTCTTCCTGCCATCCCATATTATGTTAAAATATATGGCTTTATGATCACTGTTTCCTAGTTCGTCTCCAATCCCAACATCTTTTACTAGATTTTCATTATTACTGAGAACTAAATCGAGGATATTATTTCCTCTAGTGGGCGAGTTTATGAATTGATATAAAAAACTATCTTGTACTACTTCTAGAAAATCTTCAGATTCATTATCGCTAAGTTGATTTTTCCAATCTATGCCTGAAAAGTTGAAATCGCCTAGAATACATACATTGTTTCTATCAGATGCCTTCTTTATTTCCTCCCATAGCAATTTACCATCGTTCCTACTCAAATTAGGCGGTCTATATATAACACCAATGACTACGGATTCACTGCCCTCACCAATCTCTACCCAAATACTTTCATTGTCGCTATTTGTTTTAATGATTGATTTAATGCAGCTTTTTAATGACACCCTGATATACACTGCTACACCGCCACCTCTCCTTCCTACTCTGTCAAATTTAAATAGGTTATATCCTGGAATATGAAATTCTGCTAAAAAATGTTTGCCGTTTGAATTTATCCATGTTTCCGTTATTGCAATTATATCTATGTTCTCTTTACTAACAATGGCCCTGAGCTGGTCCATTTTGTTACACAGGCTTCTACTATTAGTATAATAAACACTCAATATATTTCTTCCGTTTCTGTCTGTTTTACATTTATTACTTTGATGTTTGTTATTATGACTAACTATATTTTCAGCATTATCTACTTCTGTTTCACTACTTCCCAGGACCTGCTTGTTTTTTGACTCCCATTTTCCCCGACCCCTCTCTACTGGCGAAACCCCCCCTTCGGAGTGACAATTTCACGCTCCAGGGATGCAGACAACGTCTTTACCCCCTCACGAGACAAGTGTACTCCGTCGCGACAGTACAGGTAGTCGTTGCCATAAAATCGTTGCCAGTCATCAATGAATGCCCAACCATTGTTTGCACAATGTTTTTCCAGTCGGCAATTAATAGCAATTGCCCTGGACAGCCATTCACGACCAACCCCTCTTCTAGGCAAGACACCACATACTATCGGGATCCCTCCCCTATCTCTAATCTTCCCCAGCGCCTCCCTATACCTCTTGAAAAGTTCCTCACTCCTAACCTTACCTATGTCGTTTCCTCCCACACTAAGACACACTACTGGATTGGTACCCTCCCCTGACAAAACTCTGTCTAACCTCTCGGCTACATGCCCTATCCCAGCCCCAGGAAAACATACCCTAGTCCTACGTTTCCTATCTCTCGCACAAAAAGCCCTATCCATAAACCTCACCTGGCTGTCACCAACTACCACGACCTTACCTGTGGGCAGGGTTTGTACAACTGCCCTTTCCTCTCCTTGATCCATACCGTCCTGCCTCTTCTCTTCCTCTCCAGCTTCCTGCAGCACCTGGTAAGGGTTACTGCACTCCACACCCTGGTCAGCTTTCCTAAGCCTGACCCTAGTCCCCTTGGAGACAACCACTCTCCACGCCTGCTCCTCCTTCGCAGGTGTCCTGCTAGGCAGGACACCTACCTGAAGGAGTTCCGTCCTGAGGGCTTCATTTTCCCCCTTTAGAGTGTCAACCTCACTCCTCAACTGCCCCAGCTGCCTTAACAGCGTGGCAAGGAGGTCGTCCTTCCCCACACTCCCCTCCTCTTCCCCCACGGCACAACGATCCAAAGCGGCCATTTTCCTTGGTCTCTAGCGGGAGCACAACGGCACGACCTCCTCCAAGCTGGGTCAGAGGTCAACTGAGTATGAACCCAAGTACTTTATTAGCCTTGTTACGAGCAAAAACACATTGTTTACTTGGCTTGAGGTTCCTACGACTACCTGTACAGTCGCGACGGAGTATACTTGTCTCGTGAGGGGGTATAGACGTTGTCTGCATCCCTGGAGTGTGAAATTGTCACTCCGAAGGGGGGGTTTCGCCAGTAGAGAGAGGTCAGAGAAAGTGGGAGTCAAAAAACAAGCAGGTCCTGGGAAGTAAAATTAGTTGCTCAGGACAAGGGGTAAAACAGGACCAGGGAAGGGGAGGCTTAAATGTATACTATACAAACAGTAGGAGCGTTAGAAATAAAATAGACTTGCTGAGAGCGGTTGTATGTACCGAGAATGTAGACGTCATATCAATCATCGAAACTTGGATGAATCTGGCGAGCAAAATTTTTTTATCAGAGTACCACATAGAAGGGTACAACCTTTTTCACAAGGACAGGGAAGGTAGGAAGGGGGGAGGGGTCGCATTCTTCGTCAAGGATACATTAAAATGTTGTATTGATATAAAGGGTGAAATAGGAACCGAGTCTGTGTGGGTAGAAATCACGGAAGGAAGAGAAAAAACTAATTATGGGATTGATTTACAGGCCCCCAAGTCTTGGCAGGAAATGAGTAGGGCAGCAAAATAAAACAACCTATGCATTATGGGGGATTTCAACTTCAGAAATATTGACTGGGACAACATTGTAGGTGACTATGAATCTGAAGACTTCCTAGACGCAGTACAGGACAAGTTTTTGAAACAACTAATTACAGAACCTACTAGAGGTGACAATATATTAGACCTAGTTTTAACAAATAAAGAAAATATTATCAGAGATATCACAGTAGGGGATGAACTAGGTAACAGTGATCACAGAGAAATCAGGTTCACCCTAAATTGGGAAACGAAAAACAATGACAATATGGTCAGAGTCCCAAACTTTCGGTTGGCGGATTATCAGGGGTTAAGAAGGTACCAAGGTGAGGTCACCTGGGAACAGTCACGTCAGTCCCCAGTAGGAAGGTCCCTCAACCTTCTAAATATTAATGTTGTTTTCAAGTATGACTCAACCATTACCAATATGTTAATAAGGAATAGCCCAAGTTTGAATGTAAATGAAAGTGTTTATTGTATTCCATGTAGCAAATGTAATTGTAATTATGTAGGACAGACAGGAAAAACACTGCAGCTCAGAATCAAACAACATAAGTATAATATCAGAACAGCATCTGAAAGCAGTACCTTGTTCGTTCATGTTAGGAATAATAATCACCCCATTGCTTGGGAAAAAAGCTTAGAAGTATTTAAATCATCTTGTGTCACAGAAAGACTTCTGGTTGAAGCTAGTTTGATTAAGGAATTAAAATCAATAAACCTTAGTGATGGTCAGTTCAAAACTGATAATATGTTACATTAATTTATTTGTCAGTGGGCCAAGGTTAAAAATGCTTTGAAAACCTTTGATCTAGATGTATGATAGTTATTTTGTGGGTTCCTTATTTTTGACCTGACCTGACTAGTCACGTCACTCCCCTTCTCTTAAGCTCCTCTACGTGTGTGTTGGTGTGGGGATTAGTGGATGACATCATTATGACCTGACCTCATGTTTTTAAGGTCACCCTGTATATTTAAGCCTCTCTCTGTCCATGTAATCCAGTTGCCTCTGAAGATGTGATTTTATCAAGATATATATTAGCATATACCTAGATCACGCGCACCTATATATATATATATTGCATATATACAGTATATATATATATATATATATATATATATATATATATATATATATATATATATATATATATATATATAGAATAACAATATTATCACTGAACATACGCCTCACATGTTTAATTAATCTATCATTTGAGTAACCCTGACTACCATAGATGAAGAAACCTTTGAGTTCTTCTTATAAAATGTTTTCAATTAAAACATTCTGCCAAATATTAAAACTAGACCGCAAAAACATTTAAACTCAAACTTTAACTCCTCAGCCTTGTGGTATACATCTGTAGTAATGCAACTTTCTTTTTATAGAAATATTTACATCAAGATAGCTAACATTAACATTTGAATCATCACTACGACTAACAATGAGACTACCAGGGTAAATTATAGGAATCCATCTATCAAAAAATGAGAAGTCAATCATGATAATCTCAATATACCGACAGTTATATTAATATTATTATTTTTTTGGCTATTCCAAACTTCTTTTCTCTTAAAAGCTTAATCATAAACGTATATTGTGCTCACACAAACATCTAGCGTTTATTCGATTTCAAACAGTGAGTGGAGGTTTGGTGGGTGGGAGGGAGGCAGTCATAGCCCTGCCCGCTTGAGCGGTTTCTTGCTGTGAAACAAGCCATGTTGGACGTGTCTGAATTGTGAGTTTGGATTTTTTGTTATTAATCAATTGAGAAAGACGTATTGCTCAATGCGGGGGACCTGGATACAGGTACTTCAAAGGGAATCTATCAAACCAATCGGCCAGACACTTGATTCCCGGAGGAGTGGTGTAATAAGGCTATCAAGGGCATGATGCGGCTAGAGCCGCTAGTATAGTCCGGCGACTGACGCCTGCTTTCAGTCACAGTACTGGGCGCATCAGAGTCGGGCGAGCGAAGGCCTTCTCCGTAATACGGGACGACGAATACCCTACTTACCGTAGTTCTCACTCAGAACTGTAGTGAAAATTACATCACCTAATGGTTGTGGCCTTCATCCACACATGTTCACCGCTGATCCCTGAATGGTGAATACAGATAGAAGTTCCATACTGTTTTATTTACGGTTTGGTGAATGCGTGTTTTATTTTTATTTTTTGCTTTTTAAATCAGGTAATTTTTGTGAATTATTGACGACTGACCCGTATTTTTTAATGTATAGGTGTGTGAATATTCGATAACTATCAATAGTTATTAATAACTAAATGTAATTTTAGTAGGACCGGTAAGGATTTATTAACGACGCTACGTTTAACACGCTAGACAAGATTTAAACAAATGTGTCGGCTTTATTTAATTATTAACTCTAATATAGTACTAATGTTTCCTATGAGTAATGGAGGTGATCAGAACATTTCGTCCATGAAAGAGGGATAATATGTTAAGGATATTATCATTCATTGCTAACTTTTCATTATGGCAAACTCGTTACAATGGTTTTAAATTAGACACATTTAAATTTAGGCGCGAAATAGGTAAACATTGGTTTGGAAATAGTGGTGGATGAATGGCACAAGTTACCAAACATTATTATTAACTCGAATACGCTGGAGAGCTTGAAACATACATTAGGTTGGATGGATATATGAGCAATAGGGGTTGGGTGTAAATGGGACTGTCCAGCATGGTCAAATAGGTCCGCTGCAATTTCCTCCATTCTTATGTTCTTATTAACATTTTTAATGCCGGTTAGTAATGCACACGTGATCGCCTACAGTTAATTACAAGGAAAATGTTGCACCACATGACGGTGGTGGTGGGCCTGTAAAACAACCCCTTTTATCATAACTTCACCACTTATCAGCTTGCATAAGTCCTAAAATTAACTGAAGGGATCCTAATTGTTTTATTGGCATCTTTTATAGTTGTTATTATAGTGCGGTGTTTCCCTGGGCTAAAATGGAAATGTATTTCGTCAAGGCGCGAGGAGCAGTTCCGCGCACGTGACTCTCATATACTGTATTGTGACACAGGATACGAAGTATTTTGATACAGTAAATGATGTTGATCATTTCTCTAATTTGAAAAGGTTACCGAAAGGCTATATACAAAAATAACTTGAATTTTATGTAAAATAGTATTTCAAAGTAGTGAAAATTAATGTTTTATCCATAGAAAGTGAAAAAATAAAAAAAAATAATGTAATATGGCACCTCAGAGTGACGAGCGTGGACTGCGCACCAAGGGAGCAGCCGCCAGCCAGCCAGCCACTGAACCAACCGTCCCTAGTTTGTTTACATCGGTGAGTGTGGCAGTATGAGGGGGACAGCTCTCATCTCATTCCTGATTTTATTCTTAATTTCATTCTTCAGCATCAATGGTATGTACATTAGAATTGTATATATATATAAACTAGGAATGTCCGTATTAGTCGCTTTTTGTATATTTGTCAAATGTTACGTTTTGTGTAGTTGACCAAGGTCGAGGCGGCGATCAGCTGTCTTGATGGCCGCTGCTGAACCTCCTGTTTTCCCTTTCATTTTCTGATTGACATTATGTTGTGTGACATATTTGTATGCGTCAGTGTACATTTCGTTCTTAATTGTGTAAGACTTGCTTAGCTAAGGGTTTCAAGGACTGACGATCTCTTGAGATTGAGATGGGACAACTGTTACATAACCTCGTGACTGTTGAGCGGTTGGAGGAGTCCACCACCGTGGGCTTAACTACTCTTGTTGGGACAACTGTTACATAACCTCGTGACTGTTGAGCGGTTGGAGGGGTCCACCACCGTGGGCTTAACTACTCTTGTTGGGACAACTGTTACATAACCTCGTGACTGTTGAGCGGTTGGAGGAGTCCACCACCGTGGGCTTAACTACTCTTGTTACCAAGTTATGAGGCCTCCCGGGACGATACGGTGATATAGAATAGTGGTCCAGATAGTTTTCCTGCGATCATGTATGGCCACCAACTTGGCGTCAGTATGCACGCACGTATCTTGATTATTACTAAAGAAATAGGATGATACCGTTTCATGCAACTCCTTAATTAAGAATAAAATATATCGGCAATGAGGTTTGTTTCGATGTGTGTAGGCCGCTACTTCATAAGACATAAGATGAACTAGAGAAATATTCAGTAAGTGTCCACTACGTACTGGATTCTTTATTGGTATTTGTCTTATAAGGATTCTCCATCGGTCGACCAGTGTGCTGTAGAGCTTTACACCTTCATTCGCACGTTTTTATGTTTTACGGCTACATGGGTTATTCAGCCGTGAACTCATAAACATATCAACTGTATATCTGTAACTAGACCTGACCTACGCACTTTAAAAGAAATCAGTAGTTTTTAAGTGAATTCTTTTCTTGAGTGGTACTCATTTCAGGAATTCCCCCTCTGATTATAAAACAAATAATTTCCTTTATAGGTTTATGCTCTTCGTTAGGCCCAATACCTCAGCCTGGACAAATGTATGTGATTGATCTGAAAATTCTTAAGGTATTATTGCAGAAGTTTCTCATTTGAAAAGTTTTTGAAGTACGCCTGTGATGCTATAAACATGCACATCTATATCAGTGTTATTTTTCGTAATGTTCACGCCGTCGTCCAGGAAAGTGTGAATTTTTAATTACCTTTGTCGCGCATTTCCAATATACAACTTGGATGCCACAGACGTGAGTGCGAGTTCCGTCTGGCTGCCACAAACTACTGTTGACACGATTTGGGCGGCCACGGACACTCGTTTGCAGGTTCACCAAAATCTCATTTTTGAACCAATTAGGACATCGGTTTTAGTGAACTTGTCCTTAATCTAGTCTGTTTTCCTTAGGGATTCTTCCCCACTGGAAACTGTTCGAAGTATGTCGTGAGTAATAATTGTTCGTGAAGTACAACATTAAAGTATTTATTTTAGGGGTAATAAACCACTCGGGCACAGGTCATCGACCTTAAGAGGATAAATAAACTAAAGAAGACAAAATCCCCAGGGCCGGATGAAATTTTCCCTCGAGTCTTGAGTGTAGGGAACAGATTAGCGGACCCCTCGTAAATTTATTTACAAAATCATTAGACACGGGAGTTGTGCCAGACTTGTGGAAACAGGCAAATGTAGTGCCCATATTAAAAAAGGGAGACCGCATCAGCGTCAAATTACCGGCCGATCAGTTTGACGTCAGTAGTGGGGAAATTTCTTGAATCATTTATAGCAGATAGCATCCATAAGAACATAAGAATGGAGGAAACTGCAGTGGGCCTATAGACCCATACTGGGCAGTCCCGTTTATACCCAACCCCTATTGCTCATATAAGCATCCAACCTATGTTTGAAGCTATCCAGCGTATTCGAGTTAATGATGATATTTGGTAATTTGTTCCATTGATCCACTACTCTGTTTCCAAACCAGTGTTTACCTATTTCACGCCGAATCTAAATTTGTCTAATTTAAAACCATTGTTACGAGTTCGCTCCTGGTTGGATCATTTGAGTACCTTTGTAATGTCCCCTTTGTTTAACCCTGACTTCCATTTATACACCTATCATGTCGCCCCTCACTCTACGTCTCTCGAGGGAGTGCAAATTAAGATGCTTTAACCTGTCTCTGTATTCAAGGTTCCTAATGCCCGGGATTAGTCTTGTCATTCTCCTCTGGATTCTTTCCAATGATTCTATATCCATTCTGTAATACGGTGACCAGAACTGAACTGCATAATCCTGGTGAGGTCTCACAAGCGCTTGATATAATTTTAAGATGACTTCGCTAGTCTTGTAACTAACACTCCTTTGTATGAACCCAAGTACTTATTAGCCTTGTTACGAGCAAAAACACATTGTTTACTTGGCTTAAGATTCCTATTTATCATTACTCCTAAATCTCTCTCGCAGTCGGATTCCACAATGGCATCGTTGTTCATCTGGTAACTGGTATCCCTGTTTACATCTCCTATACTGAGTACTTTACATTTGTCCACATTGAATTTCATCTGCCATTTTTCAGACCATTCGAAAAATTTGTTTAGATCTTCCTGTAGTTTTGCGGAGTCCTCGTCAGATTTAATTACACGTCCTATTTTAGTGTCATCAGCAAATTTACTTATGTTGCTGTCTATGCCGATATCTATGTCGTTTAGAGAAAAGCAAATTAATCTACGACTCAACATGGGTTTACAAAGGGAAAATCTTGTCTTAACAAATCTGCTGACGTTTTTTAGGAAAGTCTTCGAGGTAGTAGATAATGACGACAATTACGATGTTATTGACTTAGACTTTAGCAAAGCATTTGACAGAGTACCGCATCAGAGGCTTCTGAGAAAATTAAGGCTCATGGTATCGAGGGGAAAGTTTTAAATTACTGTATATAAAATCATGGCTCACCGATAGAACGCAGAGGGTGTTAAATCTGAGTGGGCCCTTGTAACCAGTGGGGTTCCCCAGGGGTCAGTACTAGGCCCACTCTTGTTCATAATCTACATAAACGATCTAGATACTGGGATCAGCAGTGACATAAGCAAGTTTGCAGATGACACCAAAATAGGGCGGCAGATTAATTCAGGGCAGGATGCAAATGCACTTCAGGAGGATCTAAATAAACTGCAGGGGTGGTCTGAAAAATGGCAAATGAAATTCAACACCAGCAAGTGCAGTGTACTTAATATTGGAAGAACAAATACTGTCAATGTATACAGCCTGAACAACAACCTAGAGAAGTCGACTTGTGAAAGAGACCTCGGGGTACTTGTAAGCCCGGACCTACAGCCTAGAAAACAATTCGTTAATGTTCGAAATAAGGCAAACAGAGTATTGGGTTTTATATCTAGAAGTGTAAGTAATAAGAGTGCAGAGGTCTTATTGCAACTATATCTTGCGCTAGTCAGGCCGCACCTCGATTATGCGGTTCAGTTCTGGTGCCCTTATTATAGAATGGATATCAGTTCACTGGAGTCGGTGCAGCGAAGAATGACGAAAATGATTCCGGGACTTGGAAACCTTCCATATCAGGATAGGTTAAAGAAACTAAACTTGCATTCCCTAGAAAGACGAAGAGTGCGGGGGGATATGATAGAAATATTTAAGTGGGTGAAAGGAATCAATAAAAGGGATATAGATAAAGTTCTTATAATATCCGAGCAGGATAGGACTCGGAGCAACGGATTCAAGTTGGATAAGTTTAGGTTTAGGAGGGAGATAGGAAGGAACTGGTTCACAAATAGGGTGGTGGACGAGTGAAACAAGCTTAGCAACTTTGTAGTAAGTGCTGGAACCCTGGAAAGTTTTAAAAGGAGGCTAGATAGATTCATGGATGATAGAGAGTGGTAGTAACTATCGACAGGAGCTGCCATGCACAGGCCAATTGGGCCTATTGCAGACTCCTTATGTTAACATAAGAATGGAGGAAACTGCAGCAGGCCTATTGGCCCATACTGGGCAGTCCCGTTTACACCCAACCCCTATTGCTCATATAAGTATCCAACCTATGTTTGAAGCTATTCAGCGTATTCGAGTTAATGATGATATTTGGTAACTTGTTCCATTCATCCACTGCTCTGTTTCCAAACCAGTGTTTACCTATTTCCTGCCTAAATCTAAATTTGTCCAATTTAAAGCCATTGTTATGAGTTCGCTCCTGGTTGGATAGTTTGAGTACCTTTGTAATGTCCCCTTTGTTTAGCCCTGCCTTCCACCTGTACACCTCTATTAGGTCGCCCCTCGCTCTACGTCTCTCGAGGGAGTGCAAATTAAGATGCTTTAACCTGTCTATACTCAAGGTTCCAAATGCCCGGGATTAGTCTTGTCATTCTCCTCTGAATTCTCTCCAAGGATTCTATATCCATTCTGTAATACGGTGACCAGAACTGAACTGCGTAATCCAGGTGTGGTCTCACAAGAGCAAGATACAGTTTTAGGATGACCTCGCTAGTCTTGTAACTAACACTCCTTTGTATGAACCCAAGTACTTTATTAGCCTTGTTATGAGCAAAAACACATTGTTTACTTGGCTTAAGGTTCCTACTTATCATTACTCCTAAATCTCTCTCGCAGTCGGATTTCTCTATGGCATCGTTGTTCATCTGGTATCTGGTTTCCCTGTTTACATCTCCTATACTGAGTACTTTACATTTGCCACGTTGAATTTCATCTGCCATTTTTCAGACCATTCGAAAAATTTGTTTAGATCTTCCTGTAGTTTTGCCGAGTCCTCGTCAGATTTAATAACACGTCCTATTTTAGTGTCATCAGCAAATTTACTTATGTTGCTGTCTATGCCGATATCTATGTCGTTTATGTATATAATAAATAATAATGGTCCAAGTACTGAGCCTTGGGGAACTCCACTTGTGACGTTGCTCCAATGGGACTTAGTGCCGTTAATGCTCACT